GTATATATATATATATATACGCTATACACATGTGTAAATATATTTAAATAGGCATGCATAGTTTCGTTCAATTGAATGTGTTATTTATAACAATAGTAGTTATTTTTTTCTTTTAAAAACATAACTATTTATAATGCTCCCTAAATAATAAAAAATAAATTACAGTGAAAGCAATGAAGATTTTGTAGGTTTTGAACCAAACTAAATAACAGTAAACCTTTTTTTGATTTACGGTATTATCTTATTTTGATGTTTTGAGTTCTTTTGTGTTTAGAACAATATATACTAATTTTTAAAGTATCAAATTGAATTTTTGTTCAATAAAAATCTTTCCAATGCGACTGTAGCTATTTTTCCCCCAAAACTTTGTCTTCAAAATAACGGCGTGTATTATATTCTGAAAAATATAATATATTTTATCTACTTTCAAAGACAACAATACATATATATTAAAACTGTGCATTGCATTCAGATATTACTCTGTAGGATACTTCAAATTGTTTTTATTGTATATTTTTCTTAACAACTATAAGTATAATTCTTGAATCAACTGTTGCTTCCAACCAACAGTGATGTTTAAGAGGTTAAACAAATCTATTATCTATCAACTAAACTCATGCCACCATTCAAACATACATATTCCTGAACTATTTAGTATTTTACAGTTACTACAGATATTAGATATCAGTTCATGCTTTACTGATTCCTGTTTCTTGTTATTATTAACATCTGTTCACCCGTCACTACAAATGAAGGTCACTGACAACAAATCCTGTTTCTAGTAATATTAACATCTGTTCACCCATCACAACAAATGAAGGCCGTTGACAACAGATCTGTTTCTAGTTACATGAACATCTGTTCACCTGTCACTACAAATGAAGGTCACTGACAACATACATGTTTCTAGTTATATTAACATCTGTTCACCCATCACTACAAATGAAGGCCACTGATTACAGACCTGTTTCTAGTTATATTAACATCTGTTCACCCATCACAACAAATGAAGACCATTGACAACAGATCTGTTTCTAGTTACATGAACATCTGTTCACCCGTCACTACAAATGAAGGTCACTGACAACAGACCTGTTTCTAGTTATATTAACATCTGTTCACCCATCACCATGGCTGATAAGCATTGAACATAACATTTGAACTTAATATGACCCAGCATGCTGATCAAACATGACAAAAATATAAAACAAAAGTGTTAATTTTAGTAAAAGCATAAATAGCCATGTTTTGGTTTTGCAATTGCTATTAGAGATCCTAACTTATGCTTCTTGTTAAAGTATACATATATATATATTACCTTTGTACGATCTATTGTATGGACAAAGTAAGACACAGGTTTTCCTGTCCAAGATACAGAACCTTGTTGAGGAGTTATTTCCTTTACATCCATTATAGTCCCAATATCTGCAAAAAAGAAAATTAACTTCAAAAGAAAACCTTATTTCTCAAACTTCCTGCTACTTTAACAATACATTTCACTGTCACTAACAGACAAATACACGGAAACTTCCTATTTTAATTTTCACCTGCAAAATTTTCATGCATTGGCAAAAAAAAAGTGAAAAAGAAAACTATTTCTAATGAAGTTGCAAATTCCTATGCCTGTGAAGTTATTAGATATATAATCTCACTAAAATTATGCGAGGATAAAAACTCTAAACCTGCTGTAATACTGTTCTACCTATGCATATAGCACAAGTTTCTAAAGCCACAAAGTTTTTATTTTTTTCCTTATTTTTTTATAATTCTTATTATTCATTACTTTTTTGAAGTTCTGTGACTTACTAGTTCGGCATCATTAGTTGTTTTTTTTTATATTTGAGACTTTTAGTTACTTTTATTTTCTTCAGTTCATTCATAAAAATTTTAGACATACTTCGAAATACTGTGTACAACTGATTTATTTAAGTTGTAAATTAGTTTATCTGGTTTGGTTAAAAAGTAGCTCAAGAATCCTTTACTACACCACTATTGATCACAAAGATGTAAGGAACACTCAGGATTAGTACCAAATTTTTGTTTTAGGAATTACTTAAAATTTATTAACTAATTTTTATATTTAAATCCCATACTATAACAAAAGGCAATCCAAGAACTTTACACTAAGATATTTTTTCCTATTTCCTAAATGCTGTGGGTGGTTAGGGGAATGCTCTTTGAATACAATCATTTATGTATCTAAACATTCCTCTGGCTGCCCCACTCTTTAATTAGACCATCAGTGTATGAATCTTAATGTTCATGACTTCTGCACCTGTTCATTTCTCCACTTCTTTATAGTTTCGTTGAATTTTATTGGTTATAACTTTTTACATGACTGTTTGAAATATACTTACACTTAGAAAAAGATTGTTTTACACTGTTGATTAGTGTGTTAACTTAGGACTAACTTAAATCTCCCACACTAGTTGAACCTTACGAGATATTACTTGGATTACAGCAGGAGTACCCAAATGATGATTGACTAAAACTTGTAATGACAAGTCTCGTGGTATATTGACTTATAAGATTCAGCATTTCTGATCAGTTTCTTATATTGAACTGTCTTCAATAATATGTTATTTTAGTGTTTAGCTTATTTTTGATCATAAGCTCTTAACAATTACAGCATGATTACTATAATATTACTTGACTAACTAAGTTTTAACTTAGCGCAATAACCCCATTAAGATTCACAATACTTACCACTTAAGTTTCTGTTAGTAGTGCGAAAATTCAATGAACAAAATGGTTTTGATGATACAATACAAGCTCCATCTTTCATTTCTGCAAACCTCTCTTTTAGCTAAATAATTCAGAAAAATATAGTAATTTAAAATAAATCACCAAGTTCTAACACTAAATATAATCATTATATTTCAACTCCTCTTATAAAACCACCTGGAGTGTGGTAAATTCATAAAAAAAAATATAGGACATTATAAAAGAGAATAATTTGTTAAAGCCTTTTCCTTATATAAGGCAGCATAAGAAGAGAAACATCTTACCATATGATCAACAGCAGGTCCAAATGCAAAGTTATTTACAAACACAATGCTATAAAAATAGAAAGAAGACATTTGTTTAATACTTTCAATTAAAATGTATTTCATAAAAAAAAGAAAAATAAACCAACATATAATTTGACACATATCTAAAAATTGCACCTTATACTGACGAATTACTGAATTGTACAAAATGAAATGTTCCTGCAGACGGATCCAAAAATATTTTTTTTAAAAATATTGTATACTTACATGTTAAGCAAAATTATTCAAAAAGCCTAAACTTTGAAAATTATACAATACTTCTTTCTTAACTACACAAGAATAAAAGTTGCCCAATTTGTATTTATGACAAAACTACCAAGCCCAGCTGCTACCATTCGTAAATTTGAACTATTGACTAAAAGAAAAGCAAGCAGTCACCAGCACCTTACCACCAACCCTACATGCTACAGGATTGCCAATCACTCCTATAATAAACCCACACCATAAAATACAGAGAATATTTTGTGGTAATGCTAGGATTCAAACCCAGCTTATAACATTCTCAATGGATGCCTTAGCAAAAATAAAGTAGTACTATTTCCATACTATTCATAATAATCCGATGGTACATCACTGTTACTTGGTTAAGCTTTCAGTTGACAAAGCATAGCCATACACATAACATATTACCATATTTTTTGGCATACAAGAAGAGATTTTTTTCACAGTTTGCCCAAGCCTTCACTTATTCACCATATCAACTTATCTTTGGATTAGTCATCAAAATTCCTCAATGTTTCATAATATAAATACAAGATTTTTTTATCTCTGAAGATCATCATGTGATCTGGTCAATAAAGCATGCTTAATTAACCAAATATACTCATGCTCAGTTCACTCTTCTCAATCTTTGTTATAAATTCAGAAAAAAACAAAAAACTATCTCATCTCCTAATGCCTTTCCATTAAGTCTTGTAAATCCAACACAGCAGCATTCTAGCTGAAAGTCATGAAATTTGCAAAGGAAAATGGCTGCACACCTAAGTATGGTGTCAGCACAAAATGTGTCCGAGACTGGTGCAAGTCGAAGGATGCTGTACCCATGAGTGCAAGACTAGATGGACAAATACTGAGGACAAATTAGAAAAATATGTGTTAACTCAATGTGCCGCGTTTCAATACCGTTCAATTTAGACAGAAGCCAGAACAAATCGCCACTGACTTAGAAGTTGACAGATTTAAAAGAGATCCATCGTAGTGTTTTCAATTCATGTGCAGGAAAGGACTGTGCACAACAATTTCTCAGAAACTGCCTGAAGACTTTGAGGAAAAGTTGGTCAACTTTCACTCATTTGTGCAAAAGAAGGTAATATACAGACATCTAAGAAAATCAAAATAGACAAAGTGCTATCAACATCTGACATTCCCATGAACAGAACTATAGAAAGTAAAGGAAATAACACTGACCATAGGAACAACAGGGCATGAGAAATCTGGTTTCACAGTGGTGTAGATGTGTGGTGCCAACGGCATGAAGTTACAATGCCAAAGGAGAACTTTCCGAGTGTAGTTGTGGTAGAGGTGAATCGAAAGGGTTGGATGGATAACAACATGATGATACAATGGCTGGATAAGTCCTATTCATGTCAGCCAGGTAAATTCCTCAGACTAAGAAATTCATGCTAATAATGGACTCTATGCTCGCACATCAGGCAGAGAGGACAGAAAGAAGACTGTTTCAGGCATAATCCTTGGGAGTATGACAAAGGTGTTACAGCCATCGGACATTTTTGTTAATCAGTGGTTCAAGATTGAACTTAGGAAGATATGGAAATATTGGACCCAGTTTCACCAACATGGGACGTTTGCGTCGTATCTCCTATGCCAAGGTTACACAGTGGATTAAGAATGTATGGGTCAGTGTGCCCCAGGCAATAACTGTGAATGTATTCATAAAGGATGGAATTATTAGCTGACAAGAGGAGCCAGAGAAAGACTATGAGATGGATGATGACAACATAGCACCTGGCATGTCCCCCAACTTGGTGGCTATCTTCCACTCGGATATAGAGGATGAGGAATTTGACAGTTTTTCTGATGTTGAGTAACTATTTGTGGTGATTAAATGTGTACTCGGCAATTAAAATAGTACCTGAATGGTCTAGTTATTAACGGTATGTAAATGCCTAGACATTTTCACAGTTGATAGAAGTTTGATTCTGTCTTTCATTTGTTGTTTCATGTATATAATAAAACAATTTTAACTCGTCATATTTTTATTTCATATTCTTCAATTTTTGGGGCTAACTTTCACTATTTTCATATTCCCCATTATATTTCTTTTGCTGGTATACAGTATATAATACAGTGGTACTGTACTTCATCTATCCTCATCTTATACTCCGTTTTGACTTATAAATATGAATGAAGGTTGAAAAAATTAGAAATTTAACCCAATTGACTTATACTTCACATCGATTTATATGCCGAAAAATATGGTAATGTTATTTGTTTGTTGCTTCTTTTATTATTATAAAAAATAACACCAAAAAAAATAGCTCAACACACACACACACAAAACAGTTACAATACCATAGTTATTAGAACTAAACTTTAAATATATTATTCTCATTAGCCTGAAAAAAAAAGTTTTATTTTTTTAAAGTTTTGGGAAATGTTACAGACTAAAAGCAGCAAGAACAATTCAATGTATAAAGGTAAACAACATGCTTTGTAAAATTTCTAGTAACCACCATGATTTAGGTTACCCATCAATATCGAAAGAATTCAATACAAACAGTTGTTCTTACAGACAAACAGCTTCCAACTGACTTAATCACACTGTTCACTCAGTATGAAAATGAGTAGCTTTACAGCATTAACTTTGTTACACACAATTCTGGCCCAATATTGCTCTTTGGGTGTACAAAATAAATCATAAACACTTGAAAAATGACTTCCTTCCAAAACAATGTTCAAGAAATTTTTTCCTGTGCGATAAACTCTTTGGTCAATATCATTATTTGAATGCAACACAGGCTACGTAGCACTTTTTGAACACTTACGTAGAACTTATAATAGTTTCTTTGTGTTCCTGAGTAAGAAAATCTCCTTTGATCAATTTAAACTCTCCACTTGTCTTGCCATACCATTGCATCCAAGCCTTGAAATTCTTTATCATTTCCTAAAAAGAAAAAATCCATTAACTGGTTACTTTGTGTTTGTCTTTTTTTTTCAATAATTCATCTTTCCAAGAACAGAAGTGGCCATTGTTATAGCACAGGTAACAAACTAGGCATAAAAGGACATACAAAGTAATTAGTCAACATGTCAAAAGGAAATTATAAATAGCATCTTCAACCAACAGCAATATTAGACTTGAACTCAAAAACAAACTGGTATAAGTACATTTTCAAATACTTTCAGACAACTAGTGATAAGGCAGGAAAAAGTAAAACACAAAGAAATCCGATTGCTACAATGCGCAAAAACAGAGAAGAATGTAAATATTTAACAAAGATTAAATTTTGGTAAGTTAGCTAACACTTACTGGCTATTAATTACTTCTTATCCTCACAACATAAAACATGAAGCTTAAAGACGGTCACCTTTAGGGAATGGGGGATTATAGTTTTTGAGATCATACAGGTACTGATAAATCAAAAAAGAATTTAAGTTATTAAAATAAGAACACTTATTTTATTTGAATATGGGCATTTCAGTCTAAAATGCAAACTAAAATGTGTACAGTATTAAACAATTTCTCAGTAGTTCCGAACACTTCTGGAAAGCAACTACACTCATCTCCGTGGCTTACTCCTTTTCTCACCTCTGTGGAAGCTCAATGTAGCCAATATGTTTACAATCTACAAATTACTACTAAAATCACATTATTTACTATACAGTTATGTACACAGATTAAATTACCTTTAATGAAATCATTGTTAGAAACTGGGTCTAGCTATTTTCAAAACTGAGCTTTTACATCAGGCAGCATCAACAGTGTTTGAGATGCATGTATTCACATTGAATGAGTCTTAAATTCACTGTCAAAAACACATCATCATCTCATGAAATGCCAGATTTCAAAACAGAGAATTAAGTCATTGTCATGAAGTACACTTGATTTTTAGATAATGATCTGATTACATTTCAGAGGCTTAGTTTGTATTTAAAAAGATAAAATTCACAACCTTAACCTGTTTATAACCACATGGTGGTATAATTGTCACATCTTTTTAATAATTATTTCAACTGAGTATTCAAACAATAACTTATACTTACTTCAGACTTCGGTGTCCACTCTTCCATTGAATCCAGACTACTTAAAACAACTTGCACTAGCACAATAATAAATGACAGTTGACAATATCAACAAAGCACCAAAAGAAACAAATGATTAATACCCTTTTCAACCCTGAGAAGATTCTATATTACTAGTATAATCCAAGAGTTAGGAGTGTCATTTCAAGTTGAGTGGCTGAAGAACCTTTCTTTCACCATATATAGTTCATTCCTTCTAGTTATAACTTTTTATTACAAGAGAAAATCCTGCAGAGCTTTGATGAATACATTTTGTCTTAACAATGGAATAAATTTTGTGACAAGATGACTAAACATTCTACTTTGTAGTACTATTTTGCAGGGATTCACACTAGAAAGGTGTTTAGAGCTAAAATTGGTAAATGACATGAAACTGTTCCACCTTATTACAAAGAAATTTGAACTTTCTTTATTAGACAAGACATGTGATGCACTACTCAAAAACATCATTAGTGCAAAGCACCTTGCTGGAAACAATAGGAAAACTTAACAGAATTTCTGTGTGGTAGATGGAGAGAATAGTACACAGCCAAATCCTAGAATGCCTACTTGTAAATCAAGAAATGTGTGAGTTAAGGCCATGTATAAAAGACTGGTTCAGTAGATTGGGCCTAAAGGCCATGTATAAAAGATTGGTTCAACAGATTAGGCCCAACCAACATTGTACATGGCATTAAAATTACTCTTGGTGAAATTGTTGTAAAGTTATCTCAAGGAGGTTTCAACTCCCTGCCCATTTAACTCTTAGATGTTGTGACCCCCCCCCCTTAAAAACTTCAGTTTGTGGTCCTGAACTCATATAAAGTAGAGGTAATTTTAGTATTCTGACTCTCAGTAATGCATTACAGATGCCTGATAATATAAAAACATTACCTCTGCATACAAATTTGGAGACTCTGCTTTCTCTATACCCAAGCTTAGTTTACATGGTGTAGATGCTGCAATCTGAAGGGTAACCTGTCCAACTCCTAAGAATATAAATTATACAAATGTGTAATAATTCTTATTAAATTCAATTCAATTACACAAATACATAGAATAACTAATTTGTTTAACCAACAACAACAAAAAAAAGCACACAGTGAAATCAGTACTTTCAATGTATGAAAAGAACATCATCAAACCTGACATATAACAAATACTCTAATGCTTACCACAAAAGAATATTTCATGACAACATGTCAGTATAATTAAACCTAAAGGTTAAGCAGTAAGTATAAACCACAGCACAAAAAAGTATGTAACTATGAGATAGGCTAAATTCAAAGCCAAGTTACCAAACATATTTTTAATTTTGGACTTTTTAAAGGGAACTAAAGGAGAGTATGATTGTAACAATCTTTACTGTACAAAATGGAACCAAATCAAAGACTGTAACAGTAGAGTTTGAGCCAATGTGCCTCCCAATTTTTTGAAGAAAAAAAAAAACATTTTGGTAGTGATAGAGAAGGAGCAAGAAAATACTTCTAATAAAACATATTAGGAAGTTGGAAAACAATATGCCTTTATATAGCATCTGTACAATTAAAAAAAAATATATACAAGTTAGTGGCACTATTACAACACACACACACACACATATATACTATCCTACCTCAGACTGCAGGAAAATGGGTGTGATGATGAAATATACATATAGTTTGGCTTAGGAAAGGTGATCAGCAGTTTGCTTGGAAGATACTTCTAACTTGTACGCCAAATGATGAGTACACGGAAAGAGCTAACAGAGTTTCAGAGGGGGAAGGATAGTTGGATGTCATTTGTGGAAAATGTCTGTACGTGCTATTGTGCAACAATTAAACATTTCCAGGTCAACAACTGGCAACGTGCTGAAGAAATAGAAGTCCACAGGTGACAATGAGCCCAAGAAATGACCAGGTAGGCATAAAATACTGACTGACAGGAGCCGACACACTTTGAGAAGGCTAGTTACCTTACCTTGCTGTTAGACCCTAAAGAATCTGTGTTTGGAAAATACGATCAGCCACAGGCAATACTATAACATGTTGAGAACTGCATGCCATGAATTTTCACAGAAGAGTTGAAACCTACAAGCCTTCGATAACAAAAAAAAATTCACACCATCAATTAGCATGGGCAAGGCACTCCAAACCTGGACCGTGGATCAATGGAAATTGGTCCTGGAAAGCGTCGAGTCACACTACACACCCTTCCAGTCTGATGAAAGTGTTTGGGTATGAAGGATGCCTGGAGATCGCTTATTACCCGAGTGTGTTGTCCCAACAGAGAAGTTGGTAGTATCATGGTCTGGGGATGATTCTCATGGTATGGACAAGGCCCAGTGGTCGCATTGCATGGATCCATGAATACTGACTCCTACATTGATGTTCTGAACATCTTACATTGTGATAATTTTATGGTACCAGCCCTTACACCTTCCAACAAGTTAACACTCCATGTCACAACACAAGGATTGTGAACGCGTGGTTTGAAGAGAATGACATCAGAACATTGCATTGGCCAGCACAGAGCCCCGACCTCAACCCGAGAGAACATCTTTGGGATGAACTGGAACACAGAATTAAGGCAAGGCCAAAATGGGCAATAGCTTACTAATGCTTTAAAGCAGGAGTGGAGCACAATACCACCAGTTTTCAACCAGAAACTAGCAGATAGTCCTCTATGACACATTGAAGCAGTCACTGAGGCGAAAGCCGGGTCAAGACGCTATTAACCCTTTCAATATGGATCACAGGCGAAAAGCCACGTCATCTCGTTTGTTGACTTGCATTCAAAATTTTACTGAATTTCTATATTATGAATTTATGTTAATAACTTTGGTATCAAACTGTAGATTATAATTCAAATTTTAGAACTATACATTACTCAATTTATTAATTGAAAAGTAAATATTAAAAAAACAGATAAACATCGATTTTTGTGTGTCACATGGCATGTTGAATGCAGCACTGGTTCAAATTAGATGTTTATGAAGTCAAAATACTAAGTCTATCATTTCAAGCGAATTAGAAACTCTAATTACCAATATTGAAAAGCTAAAATATAAAATAAGAGCCTCTTATCTTTTCTATTTGCAAAGATATTGCTCATGTAATAAATCAAACACAGTGGCACCCTGCTCACCTCTTCCCATTTTTGGAAATTCTCCCTTATATACAATTCTATATGACATAATAACCAATCAGAAGCTTAGAATGACCCTCTAGTGGTTTTCTCAGCCTTTCTAACATTCTTTCCACCATTTCTTTTCAATCAAGATTTCAATGAATTAGGTTGTGTCTTTAGTCTGCTCGGAAATTTCATATTTTCTAGACCCAAATACAGCTTTGTTACTACGTTTGATAAATTATAGTAGAATTCTATGGTACTGATGCAGTAATTTATGATTTTTTAGTTAATCAAAAGTATATATATATAAAACCTAAAAAAATTATTTTGTTTCACATTCCTACACGTGCAAAATTTTTAAAGGCTTAGCAACCTACATCAAGCAGCACCAAGTACAATAGTCATAACTAAAAGAGATAATTGTTTGCTTTACTTCTTTAGTTACTGTTCTATGTTTTAGGAAAATAACTTTAAGAACTTGTTCCAAAATAGCAATAATCTATATACATATATAATGTATAATAATTGAAATTTGACTGTGTTTTACAAAATACTAGTCTTTTAAAACACAGCCAAGACAAGTTACTTTGTACAGACCAAAAGTCACCTTTATGTTATTTGATATGGTAACATGAGTGCACGTTAGCCACGTCATTGTAACTTCTGTATTGTTAGCCAGGCAAGGGCTATGTATAATGTTATAAGATTTAAGCTATTTAATCTAAACATTTAAGTTGTTGTGTTATAATTTGTGTTCATTCTAGAATGCAATAGCCATAATTTATGCTTATTTCCTAATTTTTTTTTGTGGTGGTTGCAAGAATGATCAAATGTACCAAACCCATACAGAGATTAATTACTAAAAATA